ATCATCATCATCATCATCATCATCATCATCATCATCATCATCATCTTACAGCTACTACAGCAGTGCCTCTAGGATCCTTTGCCCACAATTGTAAAAGCATCAATACTAACATTTTACATTTTCCAAATGAAGTAACATATATTTAAATAAGAATACTGATTCTGGTTTTCTGAATTCATATAAGATTCAGTGATATTCTGCCCCAGTTTAGGAGGCTACAGGGGCATGGATGAAGGAAGATAGGCTTTGGCTGAACCCTTGTAAGACCAAATGCTGGATATTTGGGCCCCTTCAATCCATGAACTGGAAGATATTCTACCAGTGTTTCTGGAGCAGGTGACAGTCTCTCACTCAAAATTTCGTGAGTCTGAGCAGTTTGGGAGTTCTCATGGATGCTCGGCTCCTGCTTGAGGAGTAGTGGCCAGGAAGCCCTTTGCATAATTCTATCTTATGTACCAATCACATACCTTCCTGAATTGGGAGATGTGCTTGCAGTAACTCATGCCTTAGTCGCATCCGTATTGGACTATTGAAGTACAATACGGAGCTGCCTTTGAATCTGGAAGCTGCAATTGGTCCGTAATGCAGAGGTGTGGCTAGGATTCCACGTGTATTTCTTACATGGTACAGAATAGGTTATTTGCAGAATCACCTGTCTCGAGTTATTTCTGCCAATCCCACCCACTTTAACAGGATAGGCATGCTCTAGATCCCTTCATGAAGGAACTTCATCTGATGGGACTAGGAGGCATGCCTTCCCTCTGTAGTACCTACCCTTTGGAATATTTTCTCACTGAAATTCAGAAAGCTTTAAAAATGTCTTTTTCCTGGCATTGGGCCCGGATGATAGATAATCCCATCTTTGGGAGGTTGCATGTGTATTGATAGGCCCCAATTGTATATGATTGGTATGCCTTTTTCTTTGCTTGTTTTTGTCAATATTATTAACTTTAATTGTAATGTGGATATTATTGTAATTTGGGTTTTGTTGATGTATGCTGCCTACAGTCAAGATCACATAGTTGGGCAGCCATATCAATCTTCTAAAAATAAATAAATAAAATAATAAATAATAAATCCAAGGCTGAAATCATTTTAAAGCTTTTTAAAGACCATATAAATTGGACACATTTGTATATTGAATCAGGTAATCTTTATTCTTGAATAATGAAGATAGCAAAACTGAGTCAAGCAAAAGCGAGAATCCAGCAAGAAGTGAAATAGGAATAATGGGGGGAAAAAACAAGGAAGGAAGGATTGGCAACTAAATACAGTGTGCCAGACTGGAAAGAAGGATGAAAACTCAGCCGCATGCACATTTTCATGTGGAGTATGGCTTCATTAACAGCTAGAGGGAGGCTGATCATTCTGTGGACAGAAATGGAAACTGCAGACACATAGGCTAAGATAGTGTAACTTTTAGAGTCTTTTCACCTGCTT